TCTCGGCTGTCGAGATTAATATATCAATATCGAAATAAACTCAGTGAAAGTTTCTGACGATTCATCCAATGTAAAGCAGTTCAATTCACTCAATTTAGAATTTCGGTGCATGAATGTTAAACTTATCGTGTAATCGTTGAAAAGAGATTCCATTTTTTTTATTCAAGACAAAAAACCTTCTTGATTATATTGTAAGACCTTCAGTTAAATTTGAAATGAAAGTTATTGCTTTGATAGATATGTCAAATCATTCTGCTGTAGATAAACTCTGAACTAAGCATTAATCATTATTAATTCATGTTTATTAATCCGTATAATTTTTTAACGTTAGATTGCGCATGGCTAATTTTCCCAAATGAAACCAAATAAAAAGGAGCCAAAGTATAAATTTACTTTTTAAAAGTTTTCAATGCAGTTTTTAATATTTTTCCGTCTTTGAACAAAAATATTTCCTATCAAAATGAAGTAATTGATGACGCTATTAATAACCTTTGCTGGTACACTCGCTATGAGATGAAATTATGGTGTGATAAAATCAGAACACATTCGATAGGGTAAATTAGATGATATATTAACAGAATTCAGGTCTATAAGGTAGGAAGCAGGAGTATATAAGGTAGGAAGCAATTTAACCGTATATGATTTACTCCTTATAATTTTGAGATATAATTTCATCAAAAGCAATGTCGGTATAGTGGTTAGGCCTACAGTTCAGAGTACCAAGATTAGAGCAGGGACTTGTGGGTTCGATTCCAGCTTCCTGCGACAGTTCTGTTCAAAATCGACTAAGGAGGCGAGAGGTCAAATGTAGCATAACTTTTTGTTTGTTTTCATTAGTATCCTTATATAGAACACCTTTATATGCAAAATTTCCAATAATTCCCAATTTATTTGAGTACCAGAAATTCATTTGTAGTATTTTAACCTATAATATTTGTTTTCAAATTGTCGTTTATAAGGAATTCTTAATGAATTACATGTATGAACGTCAAGCTCTGCGAGGAGTATTATGATTATAGTAAGAATGTGATTTCTTTTTTTTAAATGATTCATAAACTTTTAAAGTTTCGATATCATTTCTCTATGAGCAGGAATAAATTTTTTTCATGTCGGATGTGCATTAGTTTTTGCCGATTACGTATTTGAGGATGTGATAAATTCCGATGCCGTTGAGCCAGCTGATCCAAAACAATTACGCCACGTCTGCAGCTTCAGTTACGTATAGTCTACAAATCGTCTGACTTCCCTGTAGTGCATGAGCACCACCCTGGATTTACCTGTGATCAAAACTGGAAGCCCAGCTAATAGATCCTTCAAGGATCATTGACACTTAACGCTGAAACTTTCTGCTGAGTCTAGGTGTAAGTCAGGCGAGTCTCAGCTGCCTCCACAGACGCAGGCGAGATCTGGCAACAGGGGACAAGTTTGTTAGGTACATGTAATGATGTAACGAGTGGTGTTATCTTTCGACTGCTTCTTCACCTTCAAGCCGGCCACAACACACGTATAGTCTAGAGGAAGCAGCATGGTGAACACCCTTTATAAATAAATCTGTGCTTAATTCTTTTGTTTCTTCTTCCACACAACAATCACCTCTTTGACTTCAACAGAGTCAGAGTGTGACAGAAATCCAAATTGATAAATAAAAATGGCAAGACAAAACAAATTTTTTTACAAATTTCTCTGCAGACTCTGCAGAGCAGTCAGCAGACTCTGCAGATTTTTTGAGACATATTTTTAATACATTTGGAATCTCTCAGCCTGATTATCAGATTAAGTAATTTTCATTTTGTTAAGAATTGAATGGGAAAAAGGGTAATTTATCAAGAAGGAATCTTAAGGTTGTATAAATGGCAATAAATTTTAGCCTTTTAGGTGCAGACTAGCCATGGTGCAGAGGGTGGATGCAGGTCATGCAGCGTCGCCAATATATGGGTTTTTAAGCCCTAAGCGCATACGTAGTGGCAAACCAGTAATTTTTTAGAATCGGTTCATTTTTAATTTGCTCATTTAGCCTACCCAAGATTTTAACAGATTTCTTATGTATGATAATTCTGCTATCCAAGATACTTTACTGGTCTACTTATGGGACTCAAAATGAACTTGAGGAAGAGTCTAAAAAACTCTCTGCTTTGCCACTATGCCTATGCGTCGCCGGGTAATTTTAAGATGCGTTGCTGGGTAATTTTTAATGAAAAGCCATTTACGCTGAGTGATGAAAAACCATTTACAAGCCATGAACTTATTTACAAGGTTGCATGCACGTGTTACCCCAAATAACTAATTTTACCCTAAAAACAGTCTAATTGTACAGCAAGTGTTAACTGAACATGTGATGATGCAGTCTGACCACTCTAATGTGACCGCAACTAACACCTAAAGTACCGGTACCATTTTTTTACATCTACTCCAAAATTCATTATAATTTCAATGATAATTGAGGAAAAATTCCAATCTTACTTTACTATTTTAGTATCATAAAGGCATTCTGTTAAAATTACCTACAAATTATATATCATCAAATGGGCTAATAAGGGACGGTTTTGAGCGTTTTTTGTTAATAACTTCATTAATAATATAATACTATTTTGTATTTGTAATAATATTTTGTTAATAACATTTGTAAACAAGTTTAGGCTCATTTCATAGCTCTTTGCAATGGCTATTGTATGGCATATTGAAAAAAGTTTCATATGCTATTCATAAGATGCCAGATGCAAAATAAAAGCATCCTAAATTATCCCTGGGAGTGGGTTAATCTGGGACACTTGAAATAAAACTTAATTTTGAAATGTTTGAAGCATGCAAAGTGTACTCATACACTAACAGTAATCTGAAGTCACCCTTTTCCTTTGTAGATGATGTAGATGTGGAGTAAATGGCATTTTCTGTGAGTTTTACTTGTTTTTCCTTAATTGATTTGAAATATTTGATATTACAATATCTATTCATTACCATATTATTGATGTGATATTACCATATCCATGGACATGCCATTGAGCATTTACAATGACCTTTTCCACTGCGAGCTTCAGATCTGCAGTCATATACCAGCACTTTTTGTATTGGTGTGCTTACAGGACGGCTTGTAATTTCACACAATTTTAATTGGGTCAAGTGAATTCACTACCTATAACAAAAAAAATATATAACTCAGTACTCACTGCAGTGAATGACAGAGAGCGCATTTTCTTGTCAACAAAAACTTGAGGTCACGGACGGACGGACAGACGGACATGGCAAGCACAATAGTGCATTTTTTCCATAAATGAAAAAATATGCTAAAAATGGTAAAAACATACATTCCTGTAACAGAAAGGAGTACCTTCAAACGGAGTAAAAAGCAATGGGCAGGGTTATAAGGGACAATCCTCCAACATTTTGTAGAAATGTTGTAGCAGCTAAACTAATTAAATATACTGTATTAAATACTATAAACTACCTAATTAAAATATTGCAAAACAAAAAATAGTGGCATAAAGTTCAACATTTTTCCTATCTATGTAGCATAAAGTAAGTTAAGAAATCATACATATACTACCTCTGAAAAATCCTTGAAAAAAAGTGTGAAAAGTGAGATTTTGGAAAAGTATGTACCGTCAACCTGGGCTACTCCGGACAGATTTGATCATTTTTTTGTTAATAACTGTTAATAACTTATTATGATGAAACATTTCATAAACAAATTTAAGCTCATTTTATAGCTCTTTGCCAGGGCTATCGAATGGCATTGTCAAAAAAATTCCATATGCTATTCCTATAGCCCTCGCAAAGAGCTATAAAATGAGCCTAAACTTGTTTATGAAATGTTTCATCGTAAGAAGTTATTAACAAAAAACGCTCAAAACCGTCCCGAGTAGCCCCGGTTGATGGTACCTTTAAAATGTACCTTTAAATGTAAATCTTCATGTACTGCTAGTGAACAATTATAAATAAAATTAGCTTGTTTTTCAAGTACAAAGATCCTCTCCCTGTTCTTATGTGATCATCCCTAGTTTATCAATATAGTTGTGCACAGTGCGCATCTGTGTATTTTGGTACCTATGACATCACTCAATTTGTATAGGTACTAGGCTTGCAGAGCATAGAGGCAGGAGTTATTGAACAGGGAACATACTTGCACATCCCCCTCATTCAGCCATACGTATTCATGCCAAACAGTGTAATGTCCCGGTGGCCAATTGTGATTTCAAAGTTTTAGCCTCCACAACTGATGTTTCTGACCTACGAATTTTAGAATCATTGTATATTTTCAAACAGAAGCCCAGTTTAAATGCCACATTCAGTTCCTATCCTCTACAAATTGTAAATAGATAGTACCTTCTCCACATGTTATCTCATTTTTTATTTGTTTTATTTTCGAATGTAGTTCTAATGTCCTCAAGTTTAGGTGAATTGTTTGAATGTGAATTTTAGGATACCTACTAATTGTTTGTACCTGTGTTCTAGGTTTTGAACTGACAATGGAGCTGGACTCCAAAATGTTTTCTCTTATAAGAAATGGTGAACTTTGTGGCTATTTTCTTTACTTTCAAATTAATGGTGAGAAGTTACTAAAGAAAAAAGCTCAAAACCATCCTTTATTATCCATTTTGATGGTACACTCTGCATGCTTAAAACGTTTCAAAATTAAGTTTTACTTCAAGTTTCCCAGATTATCCCGTTACGGTACCAGGGGTAATTTGGGATGCTTTTATAAAGCAACTGGCGCCTTACAAATAGCATCTGGAATTTTTTTAGTGCCATACGATAGCCCTCAGAAAGACCTTTATAATGAGCCCATAGGTACTCATTTATGAAATGTTTCATCGTAAGAAGTTATTAACCAAAAATGCTCAAAATGTTCCTTATTACCTAATTTCACAGTAGTATGTATGTATGTATCACGTTATGAATTTAAGTATGACACTTCAAACAAATTAACTTAATTTTTCCATTTTCTGTCATCAGATTAATTAAATAGTCATTGTACCTTTCTTATGACTATCTTGTTTTGCCAGGCATTGTTCTCTTATGGATCAGCATGACTGCATCAAGAAGTGAAAGCAGTTCTGATGTCCCTACATCAGCAGGGCACGCTGAGCTGCTCAGCATGCACTCGTCACTACAGGAGAAAATTTCTTCAATAAATCGGATGCTCAATGAAAACCCTGCCTTGAAAGGAACTCAAAGCTTAAATGCTGGCATTGAAAACGCCTTAACCAAGTTGAAAGAGCTGGAGTCCAGATTTAAAGATTTAGAAGTACAAGTGCCTAAAAAATATCCTGATGTGCGTTTCCTCAACTACAAGGACAGGAAAAGAATTCTTGTGAGTTTTCTATTAGAGTTTGATTAATCTTAAAGTTTACTTTGATTTTAAAAATTCACTGCAATCTGTATTGATAATTTAGTTTATCTCCTATTCATTAGGTTGAATTTATGATAAATTACATGTTCTAAATATTTTTTAAGAGCTTAACCACATTTGAGGTAGGTACCTATTATTAATATAAAAATTGTACACATTAATAGTTATCTTTTTGAAAGGTAGGTACTATACACATACTAGTCTTACAGTATTATGTTGTTTTGAACAAGCTCTCACTACTGTGAATCTATAGGCTAATGTTTCTGCTACAATTCATGTGCTAAACTTTCATGGTATCAGATCACTGGTGGTGCAGGGTTTGTTGGTTCACATTTGGTGGACAAGCTGCTTCTGGAAGGCCACGAGGTGATTGCCGTTGACAACTTCTTCACTGGCCGCAAGCGAAACGTGGAGCACTGGATCGGCCACCACAACTTTGAACTCATTAACCATGATATTGTGAACCCGCTCTTTATTGAAGTAGATCAGGTAGGTACCTTGAACAGTATTATTGCGGCTGAATTTAGTGATTTTTGATTTTAGCAAATATTACCAGTTGTAGATTGGGGAAAAAAAGTTGTGGATTGGTGTGTGACATCACTATGGTTTGTATTCCATCTGTTCAGAGCATAGAATGTCCCTATTAGTTATTTGAAAAAATGAAACATAAATTTCCTAATTGCAAAAATATGGAATTTTTTTCTCAATTAACATGAAAAATAATATTAGTTAATTAATTTTAGTACTTTGAAATGCTTAAACTTTACCTACATGTTTCAAGCATAACCTCAGCTATTATATTCTGGTATAAAAGATAGCATACACACAAAAACGCTCAATGATCCTCGCATTTATGTGCATTACCCTCCCAGAAAACGTTATACTTGTACCGAAAAATGTTCTTCATATCAGATCTACCATTTGGCAAGCCCGGCATCGCCGCCCCACTACATGTTCAACCCCGTGAAGACCATCAAGACCAACACAGTGGGCACCATCAACGTCTTGGGTCTGGCTAAGCGTGTGGGAGCTCGCGTGCTTCTTGCGAGCACAAGTGAAGTGTACGGTGACCCTGAAGTGCACCCGCAAACTGAGGCATACTGGGGACATGTCAACCCCATTGGTGAGCTTGTACTGGGGACATGTCAACCCCATTGGTGACTTGTACTGGGGACATGTCAACCCCATTGGTGAGCTTGTACTGGGGACATGTCAACCCCATTGGTGAGCTTGTACTGGGGACACGTTAACCCCATTGGTGAGCTTATGGAGGGGATCCCCGCACTCCGGGCAGGCGGAGCTAGGGGAGCGTCCGATCCTGGCGGAATGGTACGCCAGGGAGCTGCAGTATCCCGAACGGAGCTGGGATAACGCTGAGCGGTAGGGGCGAGGGAGTGAGGCCTCCACTGATGCAATCGGCGGTGGCGGGGCTTCGAGTACGGCGTTTATGGCGTCAGTCGCCGCAACGCGGGAGGCGATCTCCCTGCGGAGAGACCGCTTGGCATCTCCGTAGGCACCGGCGGGCATTATACCATTAGCCAAGAATAGTGTGACCAAGTGACCGAACCTCGACTGGATGGAGGCTTTCATGGGGCTGTCCCCGGGGGGGGGAGCCGAAGCGATGCGGAATGAGATATAGGAGGGCTGGAGGGCGCTGGCGAGGAACTGGGCACAAACCAGATCCAGATGCGCGGATAATGTGAGGACGCCGGTCTCCTGGTGAAGATGGGAGGTCGGGGCCATTTTGAGGCAGCCGGTGGCTAGTCTCAATGCAGTGTTTTGTATTATCTGCAGGCTGGCAACTGCTGTGCGTGAGGCAACAGGGTACCAGATGGGGTCCGCGTAGTTGAGGATTGGGCGCGTGATGGCTCGGTAGGTGGCAATAATGTCCTCCTTGGAGAAGCCCCAGTTGGTGCAATGCGTCGTCAATTGAATACATTCCTTTGCTTGGTGGGAAATTTTGAGTTTAATTACCTAAGATATTGAAAGAAGAAAAATTCCAAAACGACTGAATTAACTACTTTTGTGTAATTCGCACATTAGCATAATCTCACGAACTGAGATCGATTGTGGGTATATATGTCAACCCCATCCGTGAGATTTTATTTATTACTAGCAGGTTAGCCCAGCATTGCCCAGGATTGATTACCTATATACGTAATGCCGGCAATTTCTGAATCCCGCTATCCCGAATCTTGTCAGTGAAGCTGCCTAAAGATTGTCTGATTAATTTGATAGACTTTACTTTTTTGTCGATGCTTGCATTATGGTTAACTACAAGTTACCCAAAGAATCTCAGAAGTCCCATTCCGAGCCTTAAAGCGACTTCTCATCTCTAAAAAAAATACTTCGGAACTCGGAGCAGATCACTCTGATCTCTGAGCAGATCACTCAGATCTTTGAGCAGATCACTCTGATCTCTGAGCACATCGCTCTGATCTCTGAGCACATCACTCTGATCTCGTAGCACATCACTCTGATCTCTGAACTCATCACCCTGATCTCTGAGCAGATCCCTGTGAACTGATCACTCTGATCTCTGAGCAGATCACTCGAACTCTGAACAGAACCATGTGAACTGATCACTCTAATCTCTGAGCACATCACACTGATCTCTGATCTCATCACCCTGATCTCTGATCTCATCACCCTGATCTCTGAACTCATAACCCTGATCTCTGAGCAGGTCCCCGCGCATGCTACGATGAGGCCAAGCGAGTAGCGGAGACGCTGGCGTTCGCATACCTGCAGCAGGAAGGCGTGCCGGTGAGAATATCCCGGATATTCAACACGTACGGCCCCCGCATGCACATCAACGACGGCAGGGTTGTGTCCAACTTCATACTACAGGCGCTGCAGGGGCAAGACATCACCGTGAGTCAGCTTATGCTGCATTGCGTCATGGTTCATGGCAGAAATTCTGCTTTGTTAGGGATATTCGGATCAAGAGTTCGAACTTATTCGTGATTTTTTGCTTCATTGTGCATTTGATTTTTTTCCTCATGTTGGTTTACGTCATCACTACTTTGTTCTTGTTTATAGCAATTTTTTGAGTTTGTCCTTGTAATAGGTATTATTAATTCATTACGCTGGCGTCACCAGTTTTCGCTTGGTTTGTTCCATCATCACGTTGTATTTTCTCGTAATGTTTGCATTTCGTACATTTGATTTACTCCCTATAACAATAACTGGAGGTGCAGGGCAGCGGATCGTTCCAGCCATTGTATTTATCAGTAAAGTCAGTGACGCTTTACTTTGCTTTCTTATTATTAAAAACTCAACGTCTCATGCATTTTGGTTCACACCGCAACAACAATTGCAGATGTACGGTAGCGGGGCTCAGACACGGTCGTTCCAGCCGTTGTATTTACCAGTAAAGTCAATGACGCTTTACTTCATTTTGATTCACACCGTAACAACAATTGCAGGTATACGGCAACGGAGCGCAGACACGGTCGTTCCAGTTCGTGACAGACCTCGTGGACGGGCTGGTGCTGCTCATGAACAGCAACTTCAGTCAGCCCGTCAACATCGGCAACCCTGACGAACACACCATCGATGGTGCGTGCCTTCACGCATCACTCGGAGAACGCAGAGTGTTATTATAAAAAAATATAACTCAGTACTCACCGCAGTGAGTGACAGGAGAGCGCATTTTCTCGTCGACGAAAACGTGAAGTCACGGACAGACAGACAGACGGACGGACATGGCGAGCACAATAGTGCATTTTTTTCATAAATGAGAAAATGCGCTGATGCAATTTTTGTGCTTTTGTGACCCGGTTTGATCTAACATGACTCAGTTTGGCTCAACCTGACACGGTTTGGCTCGGTAAAAGGGTGTATCACTGCCACGTCCGCTCCCTGCTCGTACTCTGTGTAAGAAAAGCGTGTCACTATTTGGGCAATTTGACCCATTTATTTTGCAAATGCAGGATTAAAAGTAATTATAAATAATTATTATTATGGAAAAGTAAATTCTTATTTTAATAATTGCAATATATGCGTTGTTTTAAAGCAGGGTCAATATTATCTTCAATAATTACTCATCCGAAATGCGTTTTGATCCTTCAATTTATTGATCCTTCAATTTATTGATTAAGTTGCTTATGCCTCATGGCTTAGCGTCTGAATTTATTGCTAGACGTCTGACTGCGTTACGAAATTATTTCGATAAGACGCTTTCCTGATCCTTCGCTCGGTTAGTAGTATATTTGCGCATCGCTTAGCCTAACGTTGTGGTCAATGAGATCGCTGCAACGCACGTCTCCTGATTTTGTGCCCTGCAGAGCTCTGACTTTGTGCCCTGCAGAGCTCTGACTTTGTGCCCTGCAGAGCTCTGACTTTGTACCCTGCAGAGTTCTGACTTTGTACCCTGCAGAGCTCTGACTTTGTACCCTGCAGAGCTCTGACTTTGTACCCTGCAGAGTTCGCGCAGATCATCCACGGGATGGTGGGGGGCGGCAGCGGTGTGGTGCACAAGGCGGCCGTGGAAGATGACCCGCGACGCCGCAAGCCTGACATCACGCGCGCCAGGGAGCAGCTCGGCTGGCGGCCTCTGGTACGGTCGCCACCAATTTGATCGTTATTAACCTACTAATTATGCATTATTCATGTATTAATGGTCATGTGGTTATTATGCATTATTCATGTAGGTATTAATCGTCACATTGTTATTATGCATTTTGCATGTATTAATCGTCTTGTCGTTATTATACATAATTCATACGTATATTAATCCTCATGTCGTTATTATACATTATTCAGATATTAAACGTGAGGTCATTACCTATATATTATTCATATATTAATCTTGATGTCCTTATTATACATTGTTCATGTTATAATCATGATGTCGTTATTATACATTATTCATATATTGAACGTGATGTCGTTATTGTACATTATTCATATATTAATCGTGATGATGGTTACGCTTTATTTGTGATCAATGTTACGAATTTTTTAAATCACACTTTAATCGTGAAAATGACCGAGATGATAGTGAAATTATTACGTTTTAATAACTTGATTGAAGCCATCATCCGTGGGATCACTTCCCTTGACTATGCCAACTACGACACTCAGTTGACACGAAATAAACTGTAATCGTGGATTTGTTCCACGAAAACGAATCATATTTACAAAAATTATCCGTAGAATATTCGGTAATTCTTCCAAATCAGTAAAATAATCTTATCTGTTGAAATTTACCTAGGTATTATCATTTGTTTTCTTGCATAGAAGATAATGAAAGGATTGTAATTCGATGAGTGAAGTTTGCAGGATCGGATTTGACTGAAGGATGCTAAAATTTGCACTGTTATGTTGATGATGAATGTTCAACTATAACGTTATCATTCTAACGTCATATCACTAATCAATTTTTGGTTAGTTATAATCATGAATGTAACTTGTTTTAATTCCTCTTCGTGTATAAAAATATGAATGCAACCTGTTGAGCTGAGACCTGAAAATGGAAAAAAAAACTTATATTGAGGGTTTGAACATGCAAATAAGCAGTTGTTTGAACATACAAAAAACTATAACTCAGTACTCACTGCAGTGAGTGACAGAGAGCGCATTTTCTCGTCGAACAAAACTTGAAGTCACGGACGGACGGGCGGACGGACGGACATGGCGAGCACAATAGTGCATTTATTCCATAAATGAGAAAATGCGCTAAAAATGGGGGTTTGAACATGCAAAGTGTGTAAAACTTCATTTCCGTGATGTTTTCAAATACCGGTATTTTCTTCTACAGCTTTTTAGTACCGTACCTAGAGAATATTGTTTTATTCTTTGTAACTTCATACCATTTTATTCTTAGCTTTGTAACAGTATCAATGTTTCTTAATATTTCCTGACTCCACTTTTCACACAGTTTATGTCCCGATTGTGATAGGGCCGTTTTAAATACTTTTTTTTTTTGCCTTATGCTTAAAATCAATTATTTTGATGTTTTCGATTAAGTTTACTATTGATCTTTGGTTTGTGTTTTAAAGTTTGATTTCTCCTTATCTTCTACTAGAGCATCAACATTCTACCTCTGCCTTTATTCTTCCACTAACTTTTCCTTTAAAAATTCAGTTCTTTTTAGATTTCTTATCCCATTGTGCATTTACGCTTGGCTTCCTTATGTTCCACGTCAGTCTTTTACATCGAAGTTCACGATACCTCATGTAGCTTTTAATTAGTACCGTTGATGAGTGTCCGTTTTAAACGTTTGATGCTCTTATATTTCTGTGATTGTTATTTATTGATATCAAAATATTGATCAAAAATATATTTACGTTCTTCTTAGCAATTATATAGCGAGGAAAGGTCCATTGACCACTGACATAAAACCTTGTTTTTTATTTTTTTTTATTTTTTTATTTACAAAATGCATTGTATGACTGATACAGCCTTGCAAAATACCGTACAGTTACGGATTAATTGTAGACCTAATAGTTTGTGTTATTCAAAGTTTATTAAATAATATCGCTATAAATTTCATATTTCTGTTGTGTTTAATGTTGAGCATAGAAAGTAGGCGCTAAAATGGAAGTGACAGCGAGGACAAAAGTGTTTGAAATATTGCTGTAAAACTGAATATTTATTGTGGTTATTTTTGCTGTTATTGATTAGGCTTTGTTCGATTACTTTAAATTTTTTGGTTGCCTTTGATTTTGATAGACTTTTTAGGAAGTGCAGAAAAGGTTGTGAATACAAAGCTATTTGAAGGAATTAAGGTTTTTGTTGGTTTTATCTCATAAATGCTGTGCTATACTGTCTATACACGCTTCAGAGCTTTTTGGACTAATAACGACAGTTGCACGTTACATTGATAGCGGAATCTAATAGGATGTCATCTTATTGGCTATTCCTTCATTTTCACGTACCGTTTACATAGGTTGTATTAGTTGTCACCTGATACAATCTCAAGTTTTGTTGCTGTTATCGATATTTTATCATTTCAAGTTTTCAAGTTGATTATGCTGCTTCACTTTTGTTGATTTCTGTTTCTTCATAATTACAATTTCATTTTATTTTTGTCAACGTTTTCCTAGTCAAGATGCATGGAAGGCCAAGATGCATGCGATTTAACTTGAGCTATAGAGTAAATTGTATAGCTCAAGAGCCTCAAGTTAAAAAATTTGAAATTTTGTTAGTAAACCTGAAATTTATAAACCCTGATTCGCCGCAGCTATCTCGGCAGCTCGTTTGAGGAAGTCATAAGTTTAGAGAAGCAATTCTGCTCGGTAACTATCATATTTGTATGATTGTTTCAGAACAGTCGAACATAATCAGAACAGTGGTACTTATTGAGAACAGTTAAACATATTCAGAACAGTCGAACATATTCAGAACAGCCGAACATATTCAGAACAGTCGAACATATTCAGAACAGTCGAACATATTCAGAACATATTCAGAACAGCCGAACATATTCAGAACAGTCGAACATATTCAGAACAGCCGAACATATTCAGAACAGTCGAACATATTCAGAACAGCCAAACATATTCAGAACAGTCGAACATATTCTGAACAGTCGAACATAATCAGAAAAGTCGAAAATATTCAGAACAGCTGAACATATTATGAACAGTCGAACATATTATGAACAGTCGAACATATTCAGAACAGTCGAACATATTCAGAACAGTCGAACATATTGTGAACAGTCGAACATATTCAGGACAGTCGAACATATTCAGAACAGTCGAACATATTCTGAACAGTCGAACATATTCAGGACAGTCGAACATATCCTGAACAGCTGAACATATTATGAACAGTCGAACATAATCAGAAAAGTCGAAAATATTCAGAACAGCTGAACATATTATGAACAGTCGAACATATTCTGAACAGCCGAACATATTCAGAACAGTCGAACATATTCTGAACAGTCGAACATAATCAGAACAGCCGAACGTATTCAGAACAGCCGAACATATTCAGAACAGTCGAACAGAACAATCGACGCGTGAAAGTACCTACGTTTTTATTAGTGAACTCACAGCACCAGGGTGGAGTTACACTATATTTTAGGTTGAGTTTTGTATGCATTATAAAATAGTGTAGGTATTATCAATTAATACACTATTTTTTAGTTCGGTTCTTCTATGTATTATGATATAGTGATTAATTAACGTCGGTTGTGGTTCGCACCTCGTGATGGGTTTTGTATTTACAAGTTGTATGATGAAGCTTGATAAACACGTCACTGATAGTTTTTAATATTTGCTGTGTTGTTTTCCTTCAAGCTGAAGCAATTTCAGAATTTTTAGTTTGAGTTCATTTCTATCAGTATTTTTTTTAGTTTAGTATGTTTTCCTTCAAGCTGAAGTGATTTCAATGTTTTTGTTTGAGTTATATTTTTATCAGTAGGTAAAGTTTTTAATTCATATTTGTATTTTTTTTTCTTGCGTTAAAGCTATTTCAAAAATTTTTTATAGTTATGTTACCATCATTAGGTTAGGCTTTTAAGATTTGGCGTGATTTTCTTGAGCTGAGGTTATTTTAAATTTTTTGTCCTCGTTATATTATGAATTATAAGGTTTTTTATATATAGCGTGTTTTTCTTAGGCTGGTGTTTTTTTAAATGTTATAGTTCTAGGTATTATTAGAATCAAAAAAGTTTTGATTAGATGTGTTCGCTGGTGATTACGTTTCAGCTTATTAAGCTTATCTCTGATCCTTTGTTATCCTCTTTATTTGAGTCGATGTTTAGTTTCGTGCCTTACGTACGCTCGACGATGTGTGATTCAAACACTAGTGCTGAAGTTAGCTCACATAGTTCAGGTAAGAATACCTTTAATATTAGTATATGTTAATGTTTGCTTGGGTGTTATTGTATCTGTTTTGGAATTATTTTTTGCTAGTTTTGGAAAAATTCTAATTTTATTTTAAATCGGAAATTTTACGAAACTAAATCCATGAATATTCTGTTTTTGTTATTGATTTTTGTGGTAAACATTGATCTGGTAAAATTGTTTCCTTTCATGAGTATTATTAATGCCTTTCAATACATCAAACTCGACATGTTTGACCCGAACAATGAGCCTTGTACGCTCAGCTTGGCTGTATTAGTGCCCCCGTTGTTTTTGTATGAATTTTTTGTATGAGGTTTTTCAAAACTCTTTGAAAAACTTTGGAAATTTTATTACATATTTAATTCAGACTATTGAACTTGGAAAATAAAAAATTCATGACTTTGTTTATAAAAATTCGTTATTTTGTAGTCTGAAACAGTGGGTTCACTGGACATTCACCTACCGCATGGCCGGCATTTGTTTCGAGCCACGCAGGCTGGCTAAGAAATATTCCTGGCAAATTAAATTGAGCAGCAAATATTTAGGCGTGCGCTATAAAGTTGCTGTTATTTAGTGCGCCGGAACCTGCTAATAATTAAATAATCTAGGCTGGAATCTGCAGCGCCGGTACATCAAGTGCAGAGCTCAAACAACAGCAACCACAAAACAAACATTAACAGGGCTTAGTAAGAGTAATTTTCCGACACTGCAATATTCTGCGAAAAAAGAACCTGAATAAATTTAAATAAAGCCTTCG